CCTGCACCCTGGTGTGCCTTCAGCAACAGGAAAGCTGAAGTGAGATTGTTCCAAGGGACTCAAGATGGGCAACGCCCACCCAGCTTACAAAGGCTGAGTTAGGCAGGCTTAGATGCGCTTCAGTCAGCTCCCAGTTGCCTTCACATGTAACGTTCCTGGAGCTTAGGAAATGAAAGCAGAGGGTGATGTTGTGGTAATTACAGTAGATGTCAGTTCTGACTTCTGACTCATCACCATTTTCTAGCCCAGAGAACCAGAGCTCTCCAGGAACTCCCCAGCATCTCTCCTGACACATGGACACCTGTGGCTTATTCTACTTGTCCTGATTCCTGAGGGAGGGAGCAGTCACCCTGCCTGGGAAGAAACATCATTGAAAATGAAATTGGAGAATTAAACGATCTTTGTGATAGTCTTGTTTGCAGATTTGACAAGTTGAAGACAGATTTTAAGGACTGCAGGCAATGATTTTTTTTATATGTTAGAAAAGGGATATGGAGTAAAAGAGATTACCTGCACAACAGACCCCCCCCCCCATTTTGGGGGGCAAATCCATGATCTTTCCTACTGTATGAGAGATTCCTTTAGATGTATCTTAACCAAATAAAGCACTATTTTTAATTGAAAAAGTAAATGGAACATGTAGATATTATACTTAGCGTGTGTCTCAATGCTAAGGGACAGAGATAATGTCTAAGATATCCTGCTTACCTGGAAATATTTGGTGTGCACACAGAGAATATGAGGACCCACTATGCTGTTCTGAAATTTGGATTTCAGAACCATGAAGGCAGATACACAATATGTCTTATGGCACAACTATTCTTTTATATAGACTCTTTCCAACTTATCTTAGGTGAGACACTGCTTTTACTTGGCTATCACAAAGGAACTTAGGAATTGCTACCCTGGCATGCAAAACTCTTTAAGCAACCAACCCAGTCATTTCTGTCACAAATTGTTAAAATTAAAAAAAAAATTCATTGATCTAAAATCTGGAAGGGTTTCAGAAACCACCTGGAGCTCTAGATCAACATTTTCAGTTTATATATATAAACTAAACTGAGACTTAAGCAGATGATACCACTTGCCACCATCCAATTAATGAAAGAACTGTGGTTGGAACTGAGGTTTCTGGATTCCCAATCCAGTGCTCTTCCTACCACACTATTTTATTATTTCAAATTTTCTAAGTCTCAGGTGTGGTTGAGAGCTCACGGACCCTGAAGAGGGACCAGTTACAAAGTTTGGCAATACCAAACAAGTCACATGTCTTCTCTAGAGGAAGATTCTTAAACCTAAACGTAATAGAGATGATAACACCAAGATTATAAGGTTGGAAATAATATGGGTGAAGCACTCAGCATATTTCTTGGGACATGGAATTGCCCAGGAAATAGCGGTGGCAACAGCTAAAACCATTATTATTTCAATAGCTTAAAAAGATTGGGGATGCCCCTCTATTAACAGAATGAGCCTGACATAATTTATTTATACTTGTTTGAAGTTCTTTCTGTTTTAAATAGAAAGCATTTCATATGTTTAACCACTTAGAGGTAAAAGAGAATGTCTTCATACTTGTCCTCATGTTGACTTATTTTATCACCTTCAGAGGGTGATTTTAATTGTAATATTGCAAGATTTGATGTCACAATCTAAGTTTATCCTATTTTTGACTTTTAAGATAAGGCAGCTTTTAATCATTTCCTTCTTAAATACTTGGAGGTTAAGAAACAAAAGAGCATTGGGCACAGTGGTGTATGTTTGTAATCTCAGCTACTCAAGAGGCTGAGGCAGGAGGATTGCAAATTTAAGACCATCTTGGGCAATTTAGCAAGACCCTATCTAAAAATAAAATAAAAAGTGCTGGGGATGTAGTGCAGTGCTTGACTAGCACATGTGAGGTCCTGGGTTGAACTCCTAGAACTTATTTATGGATCTGCAGAGGCTGGAAAAATAGCAGTGTAAGATGCTCAAGCAGATTTCATTATGGCATATGACTGTGTAGGTTCTTCATAGAAAACTTTACCATTCTAATTTTTAAGCATGCAAAAACAATGGGCACAAATGTAGGGCAATGGTCATTGTGTGGCCTTAGGCAGTAGTGCCATTATTCAAACTGAGCTCTGGAGTTTTTAACCACAAAAATCATGGACACTTAAGATGTATAATTGATCAAAACATTTTAGAGGCCAAGGTTACCATAAGTAGTTAGGGAAAGTTCCAGAATTTTCAGTGATCTTTTCCATGGGTACAACATCATCTAGAAATATTATTTAGTAGATAGAATACATAAGTTCTTAAGTATTAGGGCAGGATAAATATCTGTCTTGCAGAATAATTTTTCTATATAAGAATAGCATTAGGTGTGGTATTTCCAAAATTAAGTGAATTTCATCTAAGTAAAGAGAGCATCACTCTTGAGAGCTAAGGCCTCCTATTGTATGGTTAGAAACTGCAGCCTTTCCTCTGAGCTGGTTAGAATCACCATGAGTTGGGGCTGGGGCTGTGGCTCAAGTGGTAGCTCGCTCGCCTGGCGTGTGTGCGGCCTGGGTTCAATCCTCAGCACCATATACAAACAAAGATGTTGTGTCCGCCAAAAATTAAAAAATAAATACTAAAAATTCTCCCTCCCTCCCTCTCTCTCTCTCTCTCTCTCTCTCTCTAAAAAAAAAAAAAAAAAGAATCACCATGTGTTAATTCACTGTATTAGGGTGTGTGTGTGTGTGTGTATGTATATGTGTGTGTGTGTGTTTTCTTCTGCATCTGAACTTAGGAGGATCCATTTACTTATTCACATAGGAAGTACTCTAATTGCAACAGCAAAAGTTTGTCATGATGCCTGAGTACAATTGTTCTCTTCAATCTTTTTTATCCGTAATAGCTAAGGTTGCTAACAGTATATTTAGGGTCATTATTTTCAACTGTTTGACACCTAACAATATTATTTTAAGCTGAAGCCAAGTGGATTTCCAATAATTATACAATGTCTCTCAGTAATGATCTGTTGCTGAAGATACACATTCTACTGTACCTTTCAACACATACTTGATAACCTCTCATTTACTAACTGTAATTGAGGCAAATTCAGTCTTGGCTAATTAGGGGCTCTTAGTACCCCCTTACACATGTTATTCTTGATGACATATCAATAGAATTAGGGTCTATTTTTACTTTTAATTAAAGTAACAAAAATGTGCAACTTAAAATGCTAGATGTTTAAGGACATTACAATTACTTTACGAATAACAGTCCAATGTTCTACTGGGGATTTTGAAAATGAAAAAAAAAAAAAACTTTTACAACTACAACAGAATAGTTTGGAAGCAAACTCAGAGCCATGTCAGATGCTTAGATGGAGAAAGGGAAGTATACATGACCAAGATAATTCAATAATAGTTCATTATTTGAATGTTGGCCTCTTTCCTCCACTTTAGTTAGTTCCATTTGTTAGTGCTGCCACATAAACGGTCTTCTAGACAAGTAGAGTAAATGAAGGGCAGGTTAAGTGAAAAATAAGTTTGAGGAGAAAAAAAAAATCTCTACCTTTGTTATGAACCGATGGCAAGAATAGTTAAGCTTTGCAGTAAATAGGTCACCAAGACAAAAATTGACTATGTTAAGAAAACATCTTCCTGGCCCCAACAAATCTAAGGTAGATGGATCTACCTTATTTTTCCTTTAGTGTATGCACTTGAGCTAGATTAGGAAGACATATAATAGAAATAACATCAACCCAACTTTTTTGTGTGTGTGTTCAACATTTTTAAAAATGACTACATAAGCAAAAAAGTCAAACAGAACTTGGAAATGAAACATATGCTAGTAAATTTAGAGCAAAACCAAATGGAAGCAGAAGTTGCTAATATGGTTTCAGTATTTTGTAAAAGAGCCAGCTGGATGGATGATAATTTTTCTACCCCTGCAGGGCATCAAAGCTTTTAGGAAATCATTCTTTTCACACATATTAACACTTAGCTTATTAAAACAGATGATACTTTTATTGTAAAATGGCCTGGGTAGAGGCTGGGAACATAAAGTCAGAAAGCTAAGATTCATTTTGACCACCCAATCTGACAAACAGTGAACAGGGCAGACCATGGCGGAGATGATGAGGTAGAGGAACCTACTGTAACTGCCACAGCTGAAGTGTCACCAAGAAGCCCGTGAATTGCTGTTATGAAAACATTTGCAGTAACTCGCATAATTAAATGAAACTGCCAGAAAAGCATTTCTAAAATGAGGAGAAAATGTACATAAATAAATGCACTTCAAAGCAATACTACAGTTCACAATCAGCACTGTGGTAAGTTATAGAGTGTTCCAGCCACTGGAGTACCATTTCCTTTGAACATGGTTAATAATTACAAGTGAATGACAGCATTGTTATTTAAATGGACTGCTCTCTTAGTTACCTGTATAGATACTCAATGAGTGAAAGTTGGTGATTATGGTATTGAAAACCACAATCCCGCATATCTAGTTGTCCTGCCTAAATGAAGACCTTAAAACTGATAAAACTGTAATGTTATATCTTTTAGCAAACATCAGTACTCTAAACCAAGATAAAAATGTTCAATGACAGCACAGTGGCAGATATTTGGCTTTCCTGCTGCTTATTTCCTTGTGTAACTGTACGATATAGTGACTTACAAAAAACTTTTAAAGTCGGAACCAAATCCGTTACCACATGGTTTTGTCTATGGCATGCTGCTCAGGCAAGTGAGATCAAGCTGCACATGTATGGATTGTCATCTTGCTTGTTAAAACTCACCTCAGAAGGTTTCTGAGACTCTCCTTCTAATGCTGACAGTTTTCATGTAGAAAAGGAGGCCTCCCTTAAGGCTTCCCTCAGCAGTCAAGGAAATAAAAAATTATCAACTATATTAGCTGAATCAAAGAAAAAAGACCAAAAAGGACTTTGCAGTCTTACCATCAAGATACAACTTTTCTCTTGCCGTGTATATTTACCACCAGCATACCTTGTGGGGGTAACTACTTACATCAAATAACTTTTCTATGTACATTTCTTCATTGACCTTTTCTCGAAGAATATCCTGGTTTTGCCGAACAAACATAATATAGGTGTCTGCCAGATCCATTCCTGGTTTCTGTGGTGAGGGAAAAGGGAGGGGAATAAGACAACATCATTACTTAACCACATCCTAGAAATTAATTTTGAGAATTACCTGAGTACAATATGCTCAAGACCAAATCAACAATGAGCACCTACAATAAATTCCACAACTGAAGTAAACAAAATGGTTTAGTATTGATGGTCACTACTTATAATCATAGTTATAATTAAAATGATTAAGCTAGTCTGGGGTTGTAGCTCCATGATAGAGCACTTGCCTTGCATGTGTGAGGCACTGGGTTCGATCCTCAGGACCACATAGAAATAAATTTAAAGAATTTTTTTCTTTGTTCATCCATAACTTAAAAAACATTAAAAGAGATTAAGCATATGGTTGTAAGCCTGTATGTATGTGTTTGTGTGTGTGTGTGTGTRTATATATATACAGACTCTCTTGAAAGGTGAACATGCCAAGCAGTATATATGAAAGGATGTTTTTTAAAACATTTTTTTAGTTGTAGGTGGACACGATACCTTTATTATTTATTTATTTATTTATTTTTATGTGGTGCCAAGAATTGAACCCAGTGCCTCACACATGCGAGGCAAATGCTCTATCACTGAGCCACAATCCCAGCCCTGTGAAGGGATATTTTTTTTTCCAAATTTTCTCACATACAGTTATTATTTCTTAATTGTAAGTTCAATCCACTTTTCATCATCTCTTGCTGATTTATCTATAATATTAAAAATATTAGCTTCCCTTTGGCTTTCTCTATTGACTGTTATTGATGTTCAAGGAGTACAAATGATATTTTCTCATCAAGCTGGGTAAAATATTATTAGAAATGTATTGGACAAGAATGATTCAGTATGTTATTAAGTGAAACAAAACATTTGGTGGATTATCCAGTGCTTCTATTCAGTATTCATCAATACTGTCTTAAGAATTTATTTTAATTTAGAAATGCTGTGAGAATATCAATGAATTGGATTCCTATACAAAGGCAAAGAGTTGAAATAGTTAACTTACCAATGGCAGCTAACATTTGGTCTTTGTGTGTGTGTGTGTGTGTGTGTGTGTGTGTGTGTACTAAGATTTCACCTAGGGTGATTTACCAGGAGCTACTCCCTAGTCTTCTTTTCATTTTGAGATGCGGTGTTGTGAGTTCCTGAAGGTCTTGGTAAGGCTGACCTTGACCTTGAACTTATGATCCTCCTGCCTCAGCCTCCAGAGTCACTGGAAGTACAGGTGTGTACCACCATACCCAGCTTAACATGTAGTGTTTTCAAATGTTAGAGGAGGTAGGGTGTTAACATTACTCCTCCTTATAGACTACAAAATCAGTACTAGGAAATGACAAAAGCCTGAATGGCTGCTAAAGAGTTTTCCTTTTTACCTTATCATTAGTTTTTTTATTCAGTTTCCTATAGCTTCACTAGTTAATGCAAATAATTATTTGTATCATTTACATCTGGGGTTGATTCATAATCTATATTGGCTTATTTGATTAGAGTACAATGTAAGGAAGAATAAAATAGTAGAAATGATGCCCAAATAAGCCAGTCTTGCACTAATTCCACGACCACAGGATGCACTGATAACCTCACTGACTCATCTGCAAAGTAAATGCTGCAAGAAAATTAGGTGGAAGATGATATGGATCATTTAACTATTACTATTTCTGGAAAAAACAACTCAAGTCATATATCAGAGGGATGCACAGCACAGCATCTTCTCCTTAAGCGAAGGACAAAAAGTTCTTGCCACTCTTTTTTGTGTGGGGGAGGAGTCAGTAATATCTTAATACCATAATAAAATTGCTTGCCTCTTAACTAATGCACTGAGGAGGCAATAAACTATCTTATTTATTCGCCTTATGAATTTTTAAATTTAAGTTGTTTTTGTGCAGCAAGGATCACTGCAATTTCTTACTCTTATATTCAGTCTAAAGGGAATTATAGACCACATAAATTCAAGGATCTTTATAATATAACCCTGATATAATAAAATTAGTAAACAAACAAAAAACCTGGGTATTGGGAATTTAACCCATTGGTGCTTTACCACTGAGCCACATCCTCAGTTATTTTTTTTTTTAACTTTATTTTGAGATAGGTCTTGCTTAATGAAGAGGCAGGCCTCAAATTTGCAATTCTCCTGCGTCAGCCTACTGAGTTGTTGGGGGATTACAGGCATGTGCCACCACTGCACTGCACCAGCTGATATAATAAAATTAGTCACAATTTGAAATAAGTATTTACATAAATGTCATCCGTGGTATCTCCATCAAGATCATCCATATATAATGTAGGTAAAACATAGCATATCTAACAAAGGCAGCTTGACAAATTCACTTCTTCACTATTTTTCTGCCTAATTCTCATAACCAGTATTTGAAAGGTCAAGGGATATAAAAACAATGAAATATATATTTTATATATATATATTTATATTTATATTTTTTATTTAYTTTTTTTGAGTGAAGAAGCTGGGGAACCTGTACAAAGATTACTACTGTCAATTTTCGAGAGGCAACTAACCCATCAGTATTTCATTCTGTACCTCTAAAGTTTGTCAAAACACTGAAAATGAGAACATTCAGGTAACATGCTGTCCCTGAATGAAAATGACATGAGGACAATTTTCTATACTTAATAGCAAGTTAGCTCAGCATCTGAGTTTCAGTCAGGTGCCTGGCAAGAAAGAATAATAGTAGACAACATACCGAGGCTTTGAGTACAGCCCCCTGAACCTGGAGTTGAAGAACAGACAGATGAGAGACTTGCCTTCCCATAATTTCTCCACTCCCAACCCCATTTTTATTTCTGGTTTTCAAAGGAAAACTATGCTTGGAAGTCTCATTTACTCCGCCACTTGATCCATCACACTGGAAGCTAAGCTATGGCTGGGAAGAACAAGGAATGATGACTTTATAAACTGGCCATATTCATGGGGGCAGTTTCTGTTTCATCAGTCACTTCCAAGACAACATTAGACTTCACGAAACACTGTCCAGGAAGAGTTTATCTTTCACCATCTAAAACCAACAAATACTTTAGAGTTTACGTCTAAAAGAAAACTCAATGCCATTCCTTACTGGCAGACTCAAGGGGTATAATGCTAAATCTGTAAGGTGAGACAGTCCTAGAACTTTCTAAGAGCCTAATCATCTCTGGTGGAGGGTATAAGGTAAACCTCATTTAAAATAAGTTTGAACAAATTGTTTCTCTCTTCTTTATGAAATTGCTTTTTCTTCCCTTTTGGCAAATTAAGATCCACTTGCCTGGAAAACAAAACCTAGAATTCTTACATTCCTCATTAGCATTATTTCTTCCTTTATCTTTGAGCTGTTTACCTATTCTTCAAACTGTGACATATGGGAATTTCACACCTAGTGAATATATTTTCATGTAGCTTGTGGCATGAGACTATAATCATTAAAAGAATATACACAAGTAAGAGTCGCTGCAACAGCTGGTGACATTTACCAATTAGAATTAGAGTTCTTTAAAACACTTTATCCTTCATTTGGTGCATGGAGGGTAATTATCTCTGATAAATTGCTGAAAAAGATGTAATTTTCCTTTTAAACAGTTTCTATGTACAGTACAAATGTGTTTGGATAGAAGATATTACTGCTGGTTCAGTGCTCCTTTGTGCTAAGACTTGTTTCATGGCAGTAAAATTTACACACTTTGAAAGTCACTGCATCTAATTCCATTATGAAATGTTATCTTATTAGGGTACCAAGCACAGTTAAAAAAAAAAAAGCTAAGCATACTGTTAATTTTTTTGTGTATTTTTTTATGTGCAAATGAAAAGAAAGCATGTGATTGCACTAGAGAGATGAAAAACAGCTAGAAATTCTGGTACAAGGGCCTAACAACTCTTTCATAGGAGTGGCCTGTTCAACTTCATCAGTGGTGAGTTCAAATGAGTTTTTTAAAATCAAGAATATTGCATTTTAGAAAGCTGTATTTAGAGATCTTTTCTAAATTGATAATTAAATTATAGTTTCCTTAATGATAAAGAGAAAATAACAATTAAGAGCTATGTAGCAAGCACTCCATGTATTAAATAGCATTTAGGGAGAGTAAATGATTTTTCACATTCCCATGTAAACGCCAGGATTCTTAGCTCACTAAGCACCAACTTCTCCATCTTGTTCATGATGGTAGTTATCTCCAAGTCAAAAGAAGAAATTACTTTCATCTGGTTAGAAAAGAGCAGATTTTGGCTAACAAAGTTATAGTAAAGGGAAACAAAGATCTAAAGAATTCCCCCATGAGTATAAAGAGATCAATAACTATGGAAGAAAATAAAAGTATTTTCAGGTGAGTTGCTTTGACACTGGCTGCGAAAGTAACCGAATACATCATGGAGCGAATGAGTTTAAGTAAGAGTGCAGACTCCAGCAATTTTTTTTTTTCAAGCTTTAATTACTAGTTAACCTAGCAAGATGAACATGCTGCTTAAAAAGAGAGAAAAAAAATTCCTTGTTAATTATATGCTGCAAACGCTCGTACTTCCTGCTGCTACACCTAATCCCACAGGTGCAAATCTTTGCTTTTCCCATTCATGGGTAGGTGGGTGCAACACTGCAGTCATTTTTCACAGCAACAGATTTAGATACAGAAGAAGCCGCTTAACCTTCCACTGGAGGTTAACAATACACTACACAAACACTGTCATGGTGTCTGTTTAACAAGGAGGCAAATTTTTAAATACACTATTCTAGTCTCAAAGATTAACTAGAAGCTATGGCATAATTGACTTAATTTAAAAATGCACTTCTCATAACCTAGAAAAAAAACTTGTCTTGGAAACAATGAGGAATGAAACTGTGATATTCTCATTTATGATGATCTGCATGCTTCACCAATGAAATACACACATTCAATTATTTCTTGCTATTTTAAAATGCATCATGTGCAATATAAGAACCTATCTTCTAAATTTGAAAATGTAGTGGGAACATTTTGTAGCACAGCTCTGGCATCTAAGATTCAGTAGTACTTTTTATCTGATCT